ACTCCCACCTCTACTACTACTACTACTACTACTACTACTACTACTACTACTACCACTACCACTACGGCTACTACTACTACTACTACTACTACTACTACTACTACTACTACTATGACTCCCACTAGTACTACTTTTATTACTACCACCACCATCGCTACGAATAGTGGTAGTAGTAGTAGTAGTAGTAGTAGTAGTAGTAGTAGTAGTAGTAGTTCAACGTGTGCTACGACGACTACTGCAGCTACTGCTATTTTTTCGATTATCACGACTACCACTCCTACCTTTCCGAAGGACGGTAGATCTATTTTGGTTCGGCGTTCTTTGATGCTGAGATAACCCTCCGCCCGGGGCGGGGGCGATACCCTGGGATGGACGACCCCCTTGGGCATCCGACGAAAATCAACTCGCCATTGAGCATTGCAGCTGGGATCGCGCAGGGCGGGCGCGGCGAGGAGAAAGTGGAAAACGGAGGAGGAAGTCTGCTGCCCAACGTGTGCACTGGGCTACCCCGCATGAGGGCCGAACGAAAATTAACGTTCCAGTATAGCCTTAATCACCCATCGCATGGACAGATGTGCACAGCAACCTCATCGTTACCGAGAAAGAAGAGAGAGACAGAGAGAGAGAGAGAGAGAGACAACAAAAATCATCAACAACAACAAACACATAAATAACAACACAGAAGAGCAATAGTTATGTATTCGTTGCGGCTTGGTGCAGTGCTAAAGGTATCACTTCGTTAAACCTGCCCCCGCGAATTGCTTATTTTCGTTTCAGTGCTATCGGTAGCCTATGGGGATTTCTTAATGGCTTCCTCAGGTTGCCCATCCTGCCAACCTTGCAAGGTGTTGCGTTTTTGTTTTTTCTTATCCGCTTGATTCTGCCCAGACTGCCCTTCTGCTTGGACATGTTCGCTCTGATGACATGCGTTCTGCGTTGCGCCCCCCCCCCCCCCCGCCCCCCGGTACAGTCAACGACGTCGTTCCTGTTGTGTGTTGCTGGCCTGAAGCTTGATACCTGCCCTAGCGTTCGCTACGTCGGGTATCCACTTGCCTGTGCGCGCCTCCTTCACAACGGTACTGGACCTGTTGCTGTGCACGGTGAGCCCTGGCCCTCGCAGCAGCTCGACGAGGAACGCCAGCCCTTTGAGATCGTTCTGAGTGTCCACTTATGGGTACCACTGGTCACGATGGTGAATGTCGTCCGCGAACGCGCATAGCACGATGCTGTCGCATCTGTTCATGAACGTGCGCAAGCTTTGGTACATGAGGAGTTTGAGCAATGAGGTCGCGAAGACGTACCCTGCTAGGATACCGCAGTTGATGACTGTTGGGTTTTCGTTCGCCTCCTCGACGTTGCACCTTATCCCACCCGTGTAGATGTCCAGGCTGGCTCAGAGCAGGACCAAGTTGCCGTCGCAGCCCTTGGCCTCCTCCCATAGCCTTCCGTGCTTGACCCTCTGGTATGCCTTGGTCATGTCCAGCTGCGCCGACGTCGTTATCATGCCTGCCTTGGTCCCCCACTCCTTGTATACGGCTTGGTCCTCTACATCCCTCTCGGCCGTGCGTTGGGGAAGCAAGGCAGGTCGCATTTGTCTTCCCGTGCTTGCGTCTTCTCCCGCCGTACCTTGGTCCACTGAGGAAGCTTCCTAACGGTGCCATGTGTCTCAGTCCTCCTTCCCCCTTGGTCAGGAGCACGATGATGGTGGCCAGCTGCGCCGGCTTCCTGTGCACCCGCTCCAGGGCCCCGAGGAGCCTGCCGAGGAAGTCGAGGACGTCGTCCGAGCCACGCGCGGTGTGCTGCTTGAAGCTGCTGCTGGACATTCGTATCTGCGCCGCCGTTGGCTGCTCTAGCTCGAACATGCGGATCTCATCCCATCCTGCCGCCGGCCTTGGGTCGTTATCGTTGAAGACTCCGTCTCTTGAGCCGTCGGCTCCCCTCGTCCAGGTGTGAGCTAGTCCTGTTCCTTCAGCTGTGGCTTTCTTGGCCCACGCGTTGAGTAACTTGCAGCTTTCCGTCTCGAAAGCGCTGTTATGCCGCATGCCGACCCTCCTTGCTTCCTCCGCCAACACTTGAATGTCGTCGGCCTCGTGCCAGCGGGTCCATCTCCAGTACCTCTCGAAGTACTGCCAGTCCGACGTACGCTTGAGTGATCCATTCCAGTTGTCGAGCGTCTTGTAGATCCGCATCGCTGCGATTCAGTGGCCCGCAGTTTTCTTCTGCAGTGCCTTGCTGAGCTCGTCCAACCTGTCCGCTAGCTACAGCGCTGGCCTGGCCTATGGCGACGCCTTCGCCACCGCGGCGTCGTTCTTGCGGTACTGGTGCACCTGCATGAACCTTGGCTCCTGACCTCGACCACGATCTTTGGGCACTTCCTTCTCGCTGATGTGATCGCTGTGCTCTTGAGGGCCGTAGCCATCCATCTCCCTGATCGCTGTGTTCTTGAGGACGACCACCACTGGCCTGTGACGTTTGACCGTACTCGTGTGGACCATGTCGCACCTCCCCACCTTTCTGCCCAGACCCTTGGGTATGAGCCAGTTGTCCGGAATCGTGCCCTCCGTGATGTCACCGGGCGTGGGGCCGCTCGCCACGATCACCTCGGCCCTGCGCGTCTCAAGTATGCCTGACTTTTCCAGCTCACGAGGGTGCATGTTGAAATCCCCACCGATGGCGAAGGGTCTCTGCAGCCTCCTTACCTCCTTCATGAGGGTGTTGAGCCACCCCGTGTTTCTGCTGGTGAGGCTTTCGCTGTGGCACACGTGCACTTTATCCAACGCATCACCTCCATGTAGCCATCCTTTCCAGCATCGGATCTGGATTATACCTTGCGCCTCTTCGTACCTTGGGCCCAGGTTCACGCACTTGGCGAGGCCCTTCCACGGCTCCGTGGTCGTGCAAAGACCGCCGCTGGTCCCTCCTGTCCCTGTAAGGACAGCCGGATCAAGGTGAGCCTTCCGCTGCGCCGCTTTGGCCCAGTCCTCTTGCGCGCGGCATTCGGTCGTGCCTGCGAGGTGGGTCTCCTGGCCCAGGACGAGGTCCGCCTCGCCCGCGCTCGGGTCCTCCAGGAAGTCTCCTGAGGCTCGACCGCGCGGTTCCACCGACAGCCATGGCCATCGTGCTCGGTCGCTTTTGCTTACTCTGTCTGGTGCCCGGACTTCCAGCAACCATCCGTGGCGATTCGATCGGGTCTGGGCTCGAGGAGCGCCCGTACCCTCGCTCCGACTCGGATTTCGCCACAGCTGAGGTCTTGCGTTCCTGCCCCTCCCCAGCAAAACTACTCGGCGGCTCGGTCGGGGCTGGGCTCGAGGCGCACCAACCGCGGCGCTCAGGCCAGGATTCCCCACAGCCACCGTTCTGCCATTCGGGATCTCGCGCAGCAGAACTTGGCGACTATCGGGCATGGGCTCGAGGAGCACTCATGTCCTCGCTCTGATCCCGAAGTCAGCAGGAGGAGGAGGAGGAGGAGGAGGAACAGAAGGAGGAGGAGGAGAAGGAGGAGGAAGAGTAGGAGAAGGAGGATGAGGAGGAGGAGGAGGAGGAGGAGGAGGAGGAGGAGGAGGAGGAGGATAACAACGAGGAGGAGGAGGAGGAGGCGGAGGATAACAACGAGGGGGAGGAGGACGACGACGACGACGAGGGGGGGGCGGCAGCCTGTCACATCGCCCTGGCCGCCGAGGAGCGTGCTCGAGTCGCCGGCAAAGTTCGCGGTCGAGGCCCGCGCGCCCGCGCTCGCGCCAGGCGGAAATGGCGAGGGAGGGCGGGGAGGAAGTTCTCTTTGGCTGCTCGAGACAAGTCGGCGAGAGGGCGAGTGGGGGAGAGGGGGGCGAGGGCGGGGTGGAGGCACTGAGTGGGAGGCAAAGCGGAGGGCGGGAGGGGTGGGCTGGGCCCCAGAGTGCGCGCGCGTGTGTGTGTGTGCGTGCGTGTGTGTGTGTGTGTGTGTGTGTGTGTGTGTGTGTGTGTGTGTGTGTGTGTGGGTGTGCGTGTGCGTGTGTGCGTGTGCGTGTGCGTGTGCGTGTGCGTGTGCGTGTGCGTGTGCGTGTGCGTGTGTGCGTGTGCGTGTGCGTGTGCGTGTGCGTGTGCGTGTGCGTGCGTGCGTGCGTGTGTGTGTGTGTGTGTGTGTGTGAGTGTGTGTGTGTGTGTGTGCGTGTGCGTGTGCGTGTGTGTGTTTTCCGTCGGCCGCGGCATGCACCTCGTTCTGGAGCCTTCCCGGGAGCCTGGAGTCGTCCCGGCCGGCCGCCGCAGTCCTGAGCCAGGGCCTGGGAGTCAGTCGGAGTCGTTACATCGGCCCTGCCACCCTCGACGAACGTTTGGGGCAATGTATGATTGGCCCTGCACTGTAGCGCGCCACTGCAGGCGCCAGCACTGTCATGAGCGGGGTGGGAGATGAGGGATGGGGGTGGTGGGGGGGGATGAGCCACTTGGGAGTTCCTTGCTGTCGCTCGCAGGTCTGATACTCTATGCCCGCGAGGGCTTCCATACTTTTTCGCATCCTCTTCGCACCCTCTCTCTCTCTCTCCGCTTGCCCTGACGAGGCGATCCGAGAGGGTGCTTGTTGCTACAAGCCTCTCCCCGGGCCGGGCCAGTCGGTTTCCGCACGTTCCAGTCTGGTCGGTCGGTCCAGGCCGGTCGGTCTGCGAAGCTTTCGGTATCACCGGTCCGGGCCGGTCCGGGCCCGTGAGTTCGCACGCCGATTCGATTTCTCCGGGGGGAGGCTCCGCCGAAACGCTGCCGCCGGCGCGCGCCGGCACTGGGCCGGTCGGTTCTCGGGCTGGCCCTGGACCGAGGCGAGGCTGGTTGCTAGCTGCGCGCGTCGAATTCAGGCATTGGGTTTCCCGCTTGACATTTGTTTTGCTACTGGCTTCCTTCTGCACGAACGAAATGGGTACGGAAATAATGGGTACAATGCCCAACAGCATTTCCTGTTCATTTTGAACAGGACTCGCTGTCCGCTCCGCCGCGGCCTGTGTGCATTTGAGACAGAAGGCCGCCGGGCCCGCCCAACAGCGGCCGCTGTTGGTTTGGGACAACATTTGTTGTTGGGTACTGTGCTATTTTGTTCCGTACCCATTTCGGGCGTCCAAATTCCTGACGCAATGGCCATCCAGCCGATGTTGACGTACGTCTGACGCAACACGACGACGACGAGGGCGATGGGGCCCGCGGACGAGCACGAGGAACACCAGGGCACGGGGCTCGTCACCCAGCCGAGGCGACGAGGACAGGACAGGACAGGTGTGCATGGCTTCGGGATCACCTCCATCAGCCATGAGTCAGTCAGTTTGGGCACAGGGCTCGAGCCAACGTGTGCCTCGGCGACGTCGGGGGGCGTCTTCGCTCCGATCTCGCTCTGCGGCCGTGGCAGGACGAAGACAGGACCAGGGAAAACGAACACAGCACGAGCACATCAGGCGATCACAGACAGGGATCCAGGGGGCGTGGATTAGCGACGGGCCCCGCTTCCGTGGGACATCGCAGATTCCCGCCGCCGAGCAAGGCGGCACCGGCCGCATTTTGGAGAGGTCACCTCCCCCGATCCATGGACTTGGCGACCGCGCGCCAAATCCATGGATCGCTAGTCTATGCTTCCACGCCCCCGAGAACACGGGCAAACACGGCTTAGGTCGAGCCCTGCCATGTGATCCTTTTTTTAATCATTGTTTTGCCGATCGGCGCGGGCCCTCGCACCCCCCCCTCCCCCCCCATGGAGTAGATTTTGGCTGCTCTTTGGCGCCAGTTTCGAGCGAGCGGAGTCTCCCCCCGAGGCAGCACTCTTTGCGAACAGTCGCACTGAACAGAAGTCTGGAGCCAGAAACCCCCCCTCCCCCCCTCTGCTTCCGCCCAATGTCGAAACGCCGAATGAGAAAACGCTCGCCGTGGGGGAGCTCCGGCCGCGCCGCCAGGTGGCGCTGGTGTGCGACCGCCACGACCACGCGGGCATCGTCCTGGACGTCAGGCGGGTCGGCTTCCGCCCCCATGGCGCCCCTTGCCGCGCGGCGGGGTGTGGCGGAGCTCGCGGGGCCGCTGCGCCGCGCGGCGCAGCCAGTTGCGGCATCTTCGGGGGCCCCTTCCCGTCCTGCAGGGGGCATTCGTCTCTTGTGCTCCGACGCTGGGTTGAGGCGGATCCGACGTGAATCCGACGTGCACTCAGCGCGGTTCCGACACGGACTCGACGCCCTCGACATGGATGCGACACGGATGGTGGGCGCGATGGGACAGACGAGGTCCCCCAAACATGCAAGAGTATCGCAGCCCCAGCGTTTCTGGAGCGACGCGACCGTGATCCCAATTCGTTAGCGCGTCTTCCTTCTGGCTGGTCTTATGGACGGTCCTTGCCGTATCTTTCGCGTCATTGTTCGAATGCGATTGTGAGTGCCGGCCAGGTGAGTGTCCCATTGCCCCGTTGACGCACAAGTGTTATTACGGCCCCCTGGGGCCCATATTCATCCATATCGGCTACCTGCTTGGGCCTTGGGGCATCGGTTTCTAAAGCGATGGACCTGTATGAGTCCCACCCTGGCGAAAAATTTCGATGGAAACTGCTTTGAATGTGGAAACTGTTTGCCTCCATGCAGCCACGCCGCCCCCACGCTCCCCGGTCGTGGCCGCGACGAGCCGGAGTAATAAGGGCTGGAGGGGGAGGCCATCGTTCATCGAGAGTACAAGATCCCGTAACCCTAATAGTACAATGAGGACGTTGCCTAACTTAGGTCCCCGTCTTTGAATTAGGGATCATCACTATAGTTGGCTTGGTTTGCTAGATCTGCTGAAAAGAACCCCTATCCCTACGGCTCCTGGTCTCTTAACTTAGGTCTGCTCCCAACGGGTTAGGTGTCCTTCAATTGCTAATCAATTGTGCGCGCAAGTGGATGAGGAGGGCGACAAGCATGAGAGCGAGCGCGACCGTGGGGCTGGCAACGCGCAGCATCAGGGCAGAGACCAGCAGGAAGGATGAGGAGGACATGGAGGAATACCAGCGAGAGGAAGATGGACGGCCAGTGCCTCCTAAGCCCGCAATGCCCGCGGAGTGTCTTCTCCACCCAGAGAGAGAGAGAAAGAGAGAAAACAAAAAAAAGAGTGGCGCAGGCTGGCGCTCTTCAGCAAGCTCAAGCCGCTGCTGCCGGCCTTCGTCGCCGCAGTCGCGCAGGCGGCCCCGGGGCTCACTCGGCATCTCGCGGAGGACAGAAGTCGTGCTGACGAGGCGTCCCGAGGCCTCCAGACTGGCTTCGAAACTCCGCTGTGTCGGACCTCTGCGCGTGAGCTGTTCTTGCCCTCCCGACCAGTCGTGCCCGGCCGAGCTGATCGCCAGGTTGTTGGGCTCGCTCCCGTTCGTGGCTGGTCTGTCCGCCGTTCGTCCCCTCGGGCTGCCTTCCTCCTCCACTATAGCTCGTGCGGGGACGCAGCAGCGACGCTTGGGGTGCTCTTGTCGCCCCGCGCGTCCAGGGACGAATGGCCGAGGTCGAACAGCAGACGGCCGCTGCAGTCAAGACGCTGAAATAAGGACGTCCGGTGTTCGGGCCTTTCCTCGGGTCGAGGGCGCCCTCGAGGGCGCTAAAGTATTCGCGCATCGCGTTTCGCGGTTCGGCTCCGATTCCTCCTCATCTTCCTCTTCTCCCCTGGGAAGCGGCGCGAGAGCGCGAAGTTATTCGCACTTCGCGCAGCGCGAAGCGCGAAGTTGGGAGCCCTAGTTTCCTCAGGTGTAGGTCGTGGAACCGAGTAGTGGCCGAGGATCGCCGTGGCCAGAAGCGCCCCTTCGTTCCCGACTCAGCGCTCCTGATGGGTTAGCGCGATGGCTCCTGGAACTCGGGGAACTCCCAGGGACGCACCATGAGCCAAGCGCACCGCGACAGCAGCATCGCCCCATCACCGCCTTCCCCCTCCTCCCCCTCCTCCCCCCCCCTCCTCCTCCCCCTCCTCCCCCCTCCTCCCCCTCCTCCTCCTCCTCACTCCAGAGCGGGCCCGCCCGGGCGAGGCCCTGCACTCCGGCGGGCGGCAGCTCCTCCTGAGCGTGCCGGGCATGCCCCCCACGGGCCACGGCCCCGACTTCGACAGGCGCGGCGGGGAAGAGCCCCCCAGCCTCGCTCTCGGCTCGGCCCTCTCCCCCTCGCTCTCGGCCCCGCTTTCTCGTTGGCGACCCCGTCCCCTCTCCTTCTCTTCCTGCTCTCTCCCCTCCTCTGTCGGCCCCATCTTCTCGTTATCAGCCCCATCCCCTCGCCTTCTCGTCCTTTTCTCTCTCTGTCGTCCTGGGCCCCGCCTTGCCGTTCTCAAAACCATCTCCTCTGCTTTCTCTTCCTTCCCTCTCCCCCTCGCTCTCGGCCCCACCTCGTTCTCAACCCCATCCCCTCCCTTTTCCTTCCTTCTCTCTCCCCCTCGCTCTCGGCCCCGCCTTCTCGTTCTCCACCCTACCTCGTCTCGGTCTCTTCCTTCCCTCCCCATTCGCTCTCGGCCCCACCTTCTCGTTCTTCTCGTCATTTCCTCCCCCTTCGTTCTCGGCCCCACCTTCTCGTTCTCAACCACTTCTCCTCTCCTTTTCTTCCGTCCCTCTCCCCCTCGCTCTCGGCCCCACCTTCTCCGTTCTCCGCACCATTCCCTTCTGTTCTCTTCCTTTCCTCTCCCCCTCGCTCTCGCCCCCACCTTCTCGATCTCAGCCCCATCCCCTCTCCTTCTCTTCCTTCCCTCTCCCCCTCGCTCTCGGCCCCATCTTCTCGTTTTGAACCCCATCTTCTCTCCTTCTTTTCCTTCCCTCTCCCCATTGCTCTCGGCCCCACCTTCTCGTTTAAAACCCCATCTCCTCTCCATCTCTTCCTTCCCTGTCCCCCTCGCTCTTGGCCCCCTTCTCGTTCTCAACCCCACCTCCCCTCCTCCTCTTCCTTCCCCCTCCACCTTGCTCTCGGCCCCACCTTCTCGTTCTCAACCCCATCCCCTCTGATGTTCTTCCTTTCCTCTTCCCGTCGTCCCCAGCTCCGCCTTCTTGTTCTCAGCACAGTCTCCTTTTCTTTGTTTCCTTCCCTCTCCCCCTCGCTCTCTGCACCTTCTCGTTCTTCATCCCATCCCCTCTCCTCCTTTTCGTTCCCTGTCATTCGCGCTCTCTGCCTGACTTCTGCGTTTTCAGCCCCATCTCCTCTCCTTCTATTCCTTCCCTCTTCACCTCGCTCTCGGCCCCGCTTTCTCGTTGTCAGCCCCGTCTCCTCTCCTTCTCTTCCTTCCTTCTCCCCCTCGCTCTCGGCCCCACCTTCTCGTTCTCCACGCTACCTTCTCTCGTTCTCTTCCTTCCCCCTCCCCCTCGTTGTCAGCCCCAGCTCCTCTCCTTCTATTCCTTCCCTCTCCCCGTCGTTGTCGGCCCCATCTCCTGTCATTCTTCTCTCTTCTGGGAACGAAGAATGTGACATCAACATTCCATTTCGGGGGTCGGCGCCGACTTCTTGGATCGGCGCTTGGCCCCCCTGGCGGCGCCCCAAGCGCCGCCCCTGGCGGGGAAGGGCTTGCCTCGTCGAAGAGCAAAAACTGCATGCGGTAGGTTCGCGTCGTGCCGACCGGCGGCGATCCTTCCGCCAGCGTTCACTGTTGAGCGCAGTTGGCGACCCAGATTCGATCAATGTTGAACGAGCTGACAGTTCGGAAACAAGCGATCATTCCAGGTTGAACGATCTCCGCGGTGTCAGAGACTAAAGCTGAAGTCGGCACGACACGACCCTGGTGTATACGTAATTCCTCGGAGCTACGCGCGGATATCTCAGGTCAGCGCTGGGCCCCCCTGGCGGTGCCGCCAGCGCCGCCCCTGGCGCGCTCCGCGCGCCAAGGAAGCGGGTCCAGCGCCGATCCGAGATATTCGCGCGGACCTCCGAACGTTGATGTTTCTGCAGTTCTCAGGAGGGAAACAAAAAACACACAGACACAATTAATCGTCGATTCCCCCAAAAGATATGGGAAAATATGGGCTGTGGGGGGGAAGGCGAAAACCCAGAATATTGGAAAATATGGGGAATCCTGTTATTTCTGTGTGTATGTAGTTGTGTGTCCCAGGGCCCCTTCACGTCCTCCCTTCTCCTGCCTCCTCCCTCCTCCTCTCACCATCGCCGGCCCTCTCGCCCTGCTCCCCTTGAGCCCGTTTTTCCTGGGAAGGGCGTGGGCCCAGTGTTTTCGTCCAGGTGCTAGACCAAGGGCGCCCTCGAGGGCGCGAAGCTATTCGCGCTTCGCGGTTCGGCTCCGATGCCCCCTCCTCCTCCTCTCCTCCCCTGGGAGGCGGCGCGAGAGAGCGAAGTCATTCGCGCTTCGCGCTCTCGCGCAGCGCGAAGCTCGGAGCCCTTGTAAGCTGTCCCCAGTCCTCGACTTGCGTTGGACCGGCGAATGTGTACTGCAATGAGTTACGAGGTCGCGTGGGGCTGGCGGACGAAACGTTGAGGATGTCCCGATTGACATTTTCCGATCGATGAACACAGGATGAAGCAGACGCGTTCGTTTGTTGCGAATATTTAGAGGGAAACGCCTGTTTTCAGAATTTGTTGAGGATGTCTGGAGCGAGACGCTTGTCTTGTGCCTACATATTGCTCCTTTGCTGGGGGCCAGAATTCAGAGGATGTCTCAGGCGAAATGCTTGTTTTCACGTGCCCAGGTCGGCCAGGGCGGTATCGAACGTGGTCGTCCCCAGATGGAACCAGGTGGTTTCAAGTGTCCAGGCAACCCAGGGGTATCTAACATGGCGGTCTCGAGCTGGAGCCACGCATTTTATCTGCACGTCCAGGCCACCCAGGGGGATATCTAACATGGTTGTCCCCAGATGGAACCACGTATTTTTCCATGTCCAGGCCACCCAGGGGGTATCGAACATGGCTGTCCCGAGCTGGAGCCATCTATTTTTTTACGTGTGCGGGCCACCCACGGGGGGCATCTAGCATGTGGTCGTCTGGGGTGCGCTCCCAGCGCGGAGGGCCTAAAAGGGCCGGGCAGAATCAGTACACCAACGCCAGATGTTCAATCACCGGATGCAGTTTCTTCAGCTGGTGATTTTCTAGATTTCCCAGTGGGTTGTCTAACATGGTGGTCCCCAGCCAGAACCATGTGTTTTCACGTGTCCAGGCCACCCTGTGGCGCCCATTGGTACGAGCGACGTGTCCAGGCCACCCAGGTGGATATTTGACATGGTGGCCACGAGCTGGAACCACGTGTTTTCATGTGTCCAGGCCTCCCAGAGAGGTATCTAACCTGGTGTCCCCGAGCTGGAACCACGTCGACGTGTTTTCACGTGTCTCGGCCACCCAGAGGGGTATCTAACATGGTGGTGCCGAGCTGGAAACATGTGTTTTTGCGTGCCCATGCCATCCAGGGGGAAATCTAACATTGCGGCCCCGAGCTGGAACCATTTGTTTTCACGTTTCCAGGCCACCCAGGGGGGGACCTAACATGGTGGAGCCGAGCTGGAACCATGTGTTTTTACGTGTCCGGGCCGCCCAGGGGGGGTATCTAAGATGGTTGCCTCTTGCCCCATCGCTGCAACCACGCGTTTTATGTGTCCAGGCCACCCAGAGGTGTATCTCTATTGTGCCCCCCGAGTTGGAACCATGTTTTTGTTCACCTGTCCAGGCCACCCCGAGGGGTATCTAGCATGGTTGCCCCGGGAGGAGGAGGAGGACGAGGAGGAGGAGGACGAGGAGAGTGTGTGTGTGTGTGTGTGTGTGTGTCGACCCCGGGCGACATGGGGCCACAGCGACGCATTTCGGGTGCCAGCTGCAGGCGGGGTGTCGGCGGGCCACCGGGGCAGGCAAGACGCGGCCGCGGTGGCCGCCGTCGTGGACGGCGTGATCGTCGGTCCGCCGGCCACCTCCGTCTGGGGCGGGAGGACCGCCACGAAGGAAACGAAGCGCTCGGGCGACGGGTCCAAAGCCCTTGATTTTCCCCCGGGCCAGTTCCCCATCTGGCGTAGTTTCAAGTGAGGGCCCATGCCAAGAACACCCTGCTTGCCTCCAGGGTGCCTTGGGTTCTTTGGGTTTCGATGGTTGTGCGATGGGAGGCCTGACGTGTCTGTACCAAACATCGATGGACGTCCTGGGGTCCGAGGGTTGGGTTTCTTGTGGAGGGTTTCTTGTGGACTGGCTGGCCTCCACTGTATGCTACGGTCAGGAACTTCGGCTTCGCATGGCGCGCCGCCAGTTCTGGCCCACCACGCTATTCACAGTTTGGCCCACGAGCGTCAGCGTCCCGAGCCGTTCCCAGCCCCCCGCCCCCCGGAACGGGGCGACACGCTATCCGCTCGAATGGCACAGCTGACCAGAAGGTCTTGATCTTTCCCCAGACCAGCTTTCCATCGTGAGCTGCTTGTGTTCGAGTCCTGGGGCCGGTGGAGGACCTTCTGGAGCCCGAAGTCGACGAACAGCTTGCGCGCAGGACCCACTTCCTTCTGGATCCGTTTCCTTCGTGCTCTGAGAAAGTTGAGGAACACGATGAGGAGGAAGAGGAGGTGGAGGAGGAGAAGAAAGACCAGTGGAAGACCAGGAGGAGGAAGA